CATCAGGATTGGAGGAAGACTCATCAACAACTTACTATATGTAGATGGCACAATCTTGGTTGCTTGCTGCAGAAGGTCAAGGACTGTAGTCTTCAATATGGATTGAAGTTTAACATCAAGAAGACAAAGAATTTCACCACCAGGTCAATTGGCAGCATCATAATAGGTGGAAAAGAGACTGAGGTTGTTTTCAATTACAGTTTGCTCAGCTCCACAATCTCTCTTGGCACCAGCAGTCAGGAAATCAAAAGACAAATTGCATTGGGAAAATCTGCTGTCGTGGACCACTCCAGAGTGCTGAAAAGCAAAAATGTCAGTCTAGAGACTAAAGAGTGCTTAATCCAGGTCATGGTTTTAGCAATTACTTTCTCTGCATCAGAGAGCTGGACAATGACTAAGAATGATAGAAGAAGAATTAATGCCTTCAAACTGTGGTGCTGGAGAAGAGTCTTGAACATACCATGGACTGCCGACAAAACAAATAGATCTTGGAGGATAGGCTGAAACCAAGTCTCTCATTGGAGGCTAGGATTTAGAAGCTCCATCTCACATAATTTAAGCATGTTGGCCAGGAAAGACCAATCCTTGAAGGACATCATCATCGGAAAGGTGGAGAGACAGCACAGGAGAGGAAGACCTGGGATGAGATGGATTGACACAGTAACAGTGGCAATGGGGATTGGTGTGTCAGAATTAATAAGACTGGTTTAGGACAGGGCAGGGTTCAGAAATACTGTAGATGATAGGGTCACTATGGTTCGCAGGCGACTCAATGACACATAACAACAACAAGTGCAATAGAAAAATGTGTCTCAAATTACTTGTATTCAATTCTGTTGTGCAAACAGAGCGAGGAACACTACATGGTTTAAAATTAAGAGGGCATGCTTTCTCCATATCTATTCAATCTGTATGCTGAGCAAAATTTTTTGAAAAGCTGTATTGTATGAAGAAGAACATGGCATCAAGATAAGAGGAAGGTGTTATGCAAATGACAACCTTGCTTGCTGTAAGTCAGGAGAATTTGAAACAACTGTTGCAGAAGATCAAAGAATATAGCTTCAATATAGATTGCATCTCAACATCAAGAAAACAAAAATTCTTATCACAGGACTAATAGACAACATCATGATAGAAGAAGATTGAAACTTCAGCAAGTTCATCTTACTTGGTTCCAAAATCAGTACCATTGGCACTGGCAGTCAGAAAAATCAGGAGACGTATTGCACAGGCAAAGTCTGAAGTCAGGGATTTCTTCAAATTATTGAGGAACAATGATGTCAGTTTGAGAACTAAGGTGCATATGATTCAGGTCATGTTTTTTCTGGTCACTTTCTATGCATCTGAGCTAGACAATGAATAAGGATTATAGAAGAAGAATTGATGCTTTTAAAATACGGTGTTGGAGAAGAGTGAATGTCCCATGGATGGTCAAATGAATAATGTTTCTTTATTTGAGAATATGCAGCCAGAGTGACCCTTGAAGGAAAAGATGACAACTCTTCATCTCACGTACATTGAACATGTTGCTAGGGAAGTCTATTTCTTGGAAAGGGACATCACGCTTGGAAAGACAGAAGGTCAGCAAAAGAAAGGAAGAGTCTCAACCAGATGGATTGACACAGTGACTGCTCCAATAGGCTCTAGTGTGTCAGGATATGTGAGGATGACGCAGGATAGGACAGGATTCATAGACTTGCTATGGGTCATACTCCACTCAATAGCACCTAACAGTAACAACACATATGTCTCAAATTACATATATTCAACTCTAAGATAAACTTCCATTTAGAAATGCAGCAACTTATTGGTGAGGACACTTAAAAAGAATCCACTGGATCAAAGATTCATCTCTCACCAGATCAAGCTTCTAGAAGAATTGAAGTCAAAGCTGTGGCCATACAAATATCACAATTGTGTGGCTTTAAAATACAGATGTATTTATTTGCAATGTAGATGCTAAAAGTTAAAATCAAGATGATTATGAGAATCCCTTCTTTGTTCATAACCCTACGTGTTCCCAGTTGGTTCCTCATTCCTTGGCTTGGGTCAGTCCTTCCTGTGGTGTCTCTGTGTCTATTCTGCTCTTTTATAACTTATATATGAATCCATCCTACTCTTAGACATGATTTGATTAACATGTTCTTGTTGTTATGTGCCATTGAGGTGCTTGCAACTCATAGTAACCCTGCTCTATCCTGAGCCAACCTTATCATCTCTGACGCAGTTACCCCCATAACTGAGTCAATCCATCTCATCGAGGGTCTTCCTCTCTTGCTCTGTCCATCCATCTTCCCAAGCATAATGTCCCTCTTCAACAACTGGTCCCTTCTTGCAACATGTAAAAAGTGGATCAGATGAAGCTTCAGAATCCTTCCCTTCAGGAACAGCATGGTTTAACCCTTTCCAGCACAAACCTGTTTCTTCTCTTAGCAGTCCATGGTATATTCAATACTCTTCTCCAGCACCACAATCTCAAAGGAATCAATTTTCCTTCTGTCATCTTTAGTCATTTTTCAGCTTTCTGAAGCATAGCCCATAACTGCGAAGACCATGGCCTGGATCAGGTGTACCTGTCTCCAGACTGACATTGTTGCTCTTTAGTACTGACAGCAGACTTTCCCAATGCAATTCATCTTTTGACTTCCTTGCTGCTGGTTATAAAAGTGTTGATTATGGGCACCAAAGAACCTGTAAAAGTTATCTTTTTCAATTGAATGTGCACAAATAATAAAAGTTTGGAAAAGAAAAAAAAGTGTGTTGATTATGGAACCAAGCAACATAACAAAGAAAAATATATTTTTTCTAACAGGGTTATATCCACTGATAGAGGAGTTAGGATTCTGATAAATTACAGTTCTTTAACCTAATAAATAAGTATCAATCCTCATCCTTGAGGATTTAGCATTGCCCTTAAAAGACACAAAGAACCAAGAAGAGAACTTTGAAAATAGTTTTTCTACAATTGATAAAAAGTTCTGTATGACAGATAATGCTTTGATGGCCTAGTTGTAGGCATTGTGCTGCCAGCCTAGAGGCAGGTGGTTCAAATCTATCAGCTGCTGCACAGGTGAAAGATGAACAATCTCTTCCCAGTGCGACTTACAATTTCAGAGAACCCTCTGGAGAGTCAGCTCTGCGTTGATTCTAACTGGAGGGTTCGTAACAGCAAAAATCCCAATAGATCAAGTGTTCTATATAACAAGGGTGGGAAAATTAATTCAATTTGGAGTAGAGTAGAAGGAATTTCATGGAAGTTTCACAAAGGGGGCAATGAGCACCAACACTCTGAGAGGAGAGGATAGGGAAATTTTCGATGGAGAAAGAACATGAGCAGAAGATGGTAGTGTGAAAGCACATGACCACACGGGAGCTGTGATTAGGTCAGAGTGTGAGCAAAGAATCAGGAAGGAGAGTGAAGCTCTGTGCAAAGTAATTTTGTAAACTGTAAGTAGACACACTTCACTAATCAAATCTGCTTGTTTTTCCTTGGTGCTAAGTATTATTTCTTCCGGTGCTTTTCTAATTATCAGCACTCATACCAAAACTACCCCAAAGAGTTATTTCAACGCCATTTGTAAACATATATTTAAAAACCAAAAGAGTTTCTGTTCCTCTAGGAGAAAATTTTTATTTCAAAGACCTAAAAGACTGGGCAGGGCTCATTAGTAGAGATCCAAGAGCAAGCAGCACAGGCATCTTGTGCAACAGCCTAAATTCCATAGCAGATGATGTCACTTATTAACGCCTTATAAATGGAACAAAGCTGCAGGTGAATCTGAGCAATTTCTCTGCACCGATGCCCAGTGCTACCAGAATGGCTGTCTCGGTGCTCCGGCTGACGTTTGTCCTGGGCCTGCTTGTGTTAATCCTGACCTGCCAAGCGGGTAAGTGTTTCCTGCCATAGCTCATGTGCTGTGCATTTGCTGAACATGATTGGGCAAAGAGAACAGCACTGATTCAAAACAAAGGGGAATGGAGCACGATAGGTACCATGAAAACAGCACTGGTTAAGAACTAGGAGACAAGAAACATACCTTCTTCTTAACCTCTGAGGTCTCTATTAAACTAGAGTTTTATCAACATTTTTTTCACTTAGTTTCTATGCTGAAAGAGTTTATGAAAGAAATTATTTTTAAATGCATGCATATATATATATATGGCAACATGAAACTTGTATTTTCATTCCCTTATGAACTGAGTGGTGATATTTGTTTGGTTTGGTTTTGTTCTTTTTTTTTTTATTATAGAGAATGTTATTCAAAGGCTAAGAGTACGTTCTCTGGTATAAGACTCCTGGCTCCAATATTAACTAAAAATGCAACGTTAGTTATGTTATTTAGCTTCTCTGTGTCTCAATTCTGAAATGGAAATATTAAATGACTTCTAATGAAGCTTTATCATAAAAATAGTACAAATAAAACAAAGCAAATGGAAGCAATATCTGATTTATAATAAAACAAAACTTCATAATTTATGATGACCTTATATTTAGCTGCAAAGACACACATCTTAGTAAGAACATACCTGTTTGCACTCTCAATGAGTGGCGGATAGATTTGAAATATTAACATTTGGCTATCACTCTGCCATGTAACCGATTATAACACCATGGTTTCTTTAAACACCTAATAAATATTAACTGTTATTGCTGTCATGTATTATCTCATAAGAATCCTAAATAAAATGCTCAGTTTCTCTCATTATGTTCTTAATGGATAAACTCGATAAAGTGCACAGTTTTATCACTCTCTTTTTACAGGTTAATAAACTTAACTGGGAGCTTTGGTAATTGTACAACAATTATGAATATTATTTTAACAAGTGAACTGATGAGGGGAGACAGAGAGAGAGCAGGTAAAATGTGCAACAATGAATGAATGAAAATCTAACTTATTTGTATACATTTGTTAAAACACAATTAAAATAAAATTTCATTTTTTTAAAAAAAAGATAAACTGAACTTGTAAAGGCCGAGTTACTTGAGCATCAATTCATTTACAAGTGTTAGATTTGGGACTATAATTTCAAGGGCTGCTGTATTCTCTGCAACACAATTTCATCCACATCTTTCATATTATTCTAAGCATATGAAAGAAAACACTGAATATGCAGCTCTCCAGCATATTCTCTCTCTCTCTCTCTCTCTCTCTCTCTCTCTCTCTCTCTCTCCCAGTCCTCCATCTCTCTTTGTGTGTATGTATCTCCTGAAGACTGTGTTATCTTCACTTGTCTCTATTCAGATGGATAGACAAGAAAAACTAGACAGAGAAAATGTAATATTTAGAAATGGACCCCTTTGAGATGTTAAAAAAGTAATAACTCAGTCCCACAAGGATAAATATTGTATAAAATCATTGTTATAGAATGAGTATAAGGATCCAAGAGATGTGGAAAAGGCTGGAAGCAGATGGATAAGGACGTACAGGGGCAGAGGGAATTAATCATGAGGTTGAACAATTTGATGGGTGGGTGGGGTGAAGGAAATGAAAAGAATATGTTCTTGAAAACAATGTATTCAAATTTTGTATATAAAGTAGTTGTTGTTGTAGTTATGTGTCAGGGAGTCTCCTGCGACTCATAGCGACCCTATAGTAGTAGAAATTTTTTTTAAAAAGTACTGTAGTAGAGTTTAGCCTCATCTATTCACTGTCTGCTATCACAGCACACATAATTACTGTAGAGATGCCACAGAGGCCATGTGTTTACTACTAAAACAATCACTGTGATAAAATGAAAGGAATCATTAAGATTTAGCTTCTAATACCAGCTTAAAACAAGGTTAAATCAGATCACTGATTCAACCTCAGTTTTTTCTTCTGTAAAAAAGATTATAACTTCCAGCCTCATCAGGTAAGATGAATATGCTTTTGCAATCATTTTTTAAAGTATGGAAGGCAATAGCATGTGTGCTCAGAACTTTATCTAATAAAGAAATTCACCCAGAAAGAATTTAAACTACATAAGAATAACCCCATGTTGTATTTTAAAAGGTAATGTTTAAATTTAAAAATTTTGTTTATGATGTTTTGTTGCTAGAATGTAAAATTTCTTCAGTATGTCAGGAATTGTTAAAACTCATCATTTTGAAAACTCATCAAATACTGGCAAAGAGAATTGTTATACATCATTTTCCTAGCTTAATTTACTATTACAATAGTAATGACAATAGTGACAGCATATAGTATGGGTTTATTTAATAGTGAAAACATTTAGTGTGGCACTTCCACTGTGTCTGATATCTAGGTTTTTTTTTTTTAATATTGACAACAATACAATGAAACTATAATATGTAAGATCTCTTGTTTAAATGTTATTGGGGAAAAAGAATCAAGCTCAGGTCTGTAGGACTCCAAAACAACTTATCTACTATACAGTCTCTCAAAATACATGTGGTCCAGTGAAGGTAGAAATAACTTGTTACATGTTGTTATATATGTTGTTGAGTCATAGCTGACCGTTCAATGAGGTTTCAGAGACTGTGAAGGAGATTGGCCATACTCCAGAATTTGTCCCATAGCATACCATGAATTAATGACACAGCTAGAGTCAAGGATGTGGTCTCCACAAACGTTCTCCAAGCACATTGAAAAACTGTCACTTAATGTGACACAAAATAAAAAGTCATGAGCACTAGAAGATATACAAGCAAGAAGATTGGGCACATAGGGCAAATGAATTTACCTTTCCTATAAGGAACTATAGATTTGCAGTGGACAAAGTTTTCAGGGAATCTTATTCTTTGTTTTTCCTAATTATGTATAATTTTGTAAAATTATGCATAATTCTCTCTCTTCTAGTATTTAAAGAATCTATAAAAGGTTTAAAAATTACCAATATAATATACATTCTAGAATCCCAATACCAGTCAAAAATTGTTAAATAGAATTGCTTATAAATGGTATTACACAAAACCAAATAACATGATTTGTTGAGTCAGAAAAAAAATTATGATTCTAACCCTGACTCAGCTGCATGCTTGATGTGTGGTTTTAGGTGACTCATTTAATTTATTGGAGTGCCTGTTTTCTCTTCTGTAAAATCATAACGCCATCACCACTTAGTTGAATGAGGATTAAGATGCGTGATGAAAGCACAGTAGGTAGACCACAAATAAGAGTTCTCTTTCCTTTCCATTCCTGTGATAAAAGCAAATCTCTATTTCTGGGTTTTCTACTTGTCCTGCACTGTATATGAGGGTCTTTATATATATATATATATATATATATATATATACCTGTCTTTACCTGACCCTTTAGCACATGCTTTGAGTCACCTCCAACTAGCGACTGCCCCATATAGAAAAGAACAAAGTATTGTCCAGTCCTGGGTCAACTTCTTGATTGCCTACTGCTATGCTCAAGTCCAATTGATGTGCATTTTTAAGTGTCTTTCAAACAAAGAGATCCATCATCCCACACAATTACAGAGGCTTTTCTGTTGTGATCCAGAGAGTTTTCACTGGCTAATTTTCAGAAATAGATCATCAAACCTTTTTTACTAGTTTCTCTTGGTCTAGATTTTCCACTAAAACCTGTCCACCATGGGTGACCCTGATGGTGTTTGAAATATCAATGGTAAAGCTTCCATCATTATAGTAATACATAAGCCACCACTGTACATGTATGTGGTTAGTATCCATAATAATATTTTGCTATTAACTTAGTTCTGATTTATGGTGACTGTATGTGTGTCAGAGTATAGCTGTACTTCATAGGGCTGCAATCTTTTGCAAGTAGATCACCAGGACTTGTTTTTTAAAAAGCCTCTGAATGTATTTGAACCACTAACCTTTTGTTAACAGTTGAATATGCTTAATTATTTATACCAGCAGGGTCTCAGATGTATATATTAGTAGGCTAAAAAATAGCATTTATTATTACTGAGTGAAAGAAACAACAATTAAATTAACAAATACCTGGCCATTAGTATATTGAGAACTGAGTCTGATTTGTCTATCATATTTTTGCTTGTAGCACAGCACACTATAAATGTTGGTAGAGTTTAACATATTTTTTAAAAATAATATTTCTATTTGAGGATATAATATGGATGTAAGACTTTTTATATAATCTGAAAATATCCACACAAACAGGCAATTGAATTTACCTCATTCACAAGTATATGATTTAGATGTAGAGACTTCATAAGTCAAGATTTCATGTAGAATTGCCAAATGTAATACATGATGCCCAGGGAACATTGAGTGTTCTTTTGGTATATGATTAGTTCAGATGTTGCCTAGGTTTACTTATGCTTAAAAAATTATCTATTGCTTGTATGAAATTTTAAATTTACCTAGGCATTCTGAAAGTATTTTTATTTGCAAATCTGGCAACTCTACTTCTGACAGTAAAACAATATTAAAAGGAGATAAGTCTAGAGCAAAATATGTGGACTACATATGACTTGAGGAATCAAAAGTTGTGGAGGAAAGTGCAACAATGAATGAATGGAAATCCAATCTCTGTAAATGTTCATTAAAATGAATAATAATAATAATAATAATAATAATAGTAGTGGAGAATATCAAAGGTAATAAAAAAAGAATGAGCTTAGAGAGATTTTGACTAGAGAGGGTCTCAATAAATCTGTTACTCTAGATAAAGTGACGTTCCCAGTCATAACCCTTGCTTGTAAAAATTTCTCTATCAGTTTTTGTAGAACTTATCAGACAACACACTTAATTTTTAATCCATTCAACAGTTTTGGAGTTCTAAGGGTGGAGGAGGAAGAGATGATGGTTTTATTCACTGTTACTAATTCTGCTGGGAAGCCACAAGTCGCTATCAATCATCACACTTCCATTCCTCCTCACCTCCTGAATATTTAAGAGTACTAAACAGAGACCAAAACTCCTAAAGAATATCTCTAATCTACCTTTCTTTCATGCTGGGCAAAGTAGAGGGTCAGTGAAAGAGAGGAAGGACCTCTTCGAGACGGACGGACAAAGTGACGACAACGTGGGCTTGAGCATGGCAGAGATGGCAAAAATAGCTGAGGGTTGGGCAAGGCTCCCATCCGTTGTTCACAGAGTTGCTATGAATTTTAGTCCGCTCAGCAGCAACTTACAACAGTGACAATAACCTCTGTCTCTAAATTTCTTTTTCTTTTTTTTTTTAGTCAGAACAAAGAGCATTTAATTTCTTTCTCTTCCTTCCTCTCTTTCTTTCTCCCTCCCTCCCTTCCTTCCTTCCTTCCTTCCTCCCTCCCTTCCTTCCTCCCTCCCTTCCTTCCTTCCTTTCTTTTTACCTTCCTCCCTCCCTCCCTCCCTCCCTCCCTTCCTTCCTTCCATCTCTTTTTTGGTTTGTTTTCTCTCTCACTCTTTCTTTTTAATTAGTTTTAATGAAAGTTTACAGAGACCATTCATTATTGCACTTTTCTCCCCACCCACCTCCACCGTCCAATTAATTCTTCTCTTTAAAAAGTAAAAGAAAAATGCTTTCATTGTTATACAATCCCTCTCCCCAAGTCCACTCCACTGTGCAGCCTTCATTCTGGACTCCTGTCATGACAATAATACCTAATCATATATCCCTTTTAAACAGTTCTCTCCCTTATCTGTTTCAATGTCAATGCAGTATATATGCTTTATCCTCTTTCTCAGTCTTCCCTCAACCCCAATGTCAGTCTCTTTTTACAACACTGGCCCTATGCAATATTTATCCTTTTGTGACTGAGCTATTTCATTCAGCGTAATGTCCTCTAGGGTCATCCATTTTGTATAATATCTCATGAGTTCCTTGTTTAATGCAGCATAGTATTCCATTGTATAAATATATACCAGAGCTTCTCTATCCATTCGTTTGTTGACTAAATTATCTTCTTTCTTGTTCTTAGTGAGATCTTCTGGGAGTCCCTTAATGCTTCAAGTTTCTGACTAAAAAGCTAAAAATGCATATCCTATAATATTGTTCAGAGCTTAAATTACAGAGTATGTGTAATTATGTAGAATGCATGTTTTAATTTCAGATAGAATGTAGTTTGAAATTTGTTTTTCAATCTTCCCATTGGCATTTATTAGTTACTTAACTCTAGGCAAGTTTCAAGGATAACCTCTTTGAGCTTTTTTCTCACCCGCAAAATGGAATCAACCTAAGTGCGATAGTGTCCATCATTTATTGGAATTATATATTTAAACGTTTTAATCAGAAAGCCATTCAATATTCAATAATTTTAGCATGATGCTGTATACTTAATGAGATGGGTGAACTGAGGTCTCTAGGAATTACCCATAAAAAAAGATACTTCTCTTTCTTGATGTACAGAGAATTATCTCTGAGCCTGTATCATGTTTTTCAGATAACAAACCAGATGGAAAACCAGATGATAAGCCAGATGTTAAGCCTGATAACTCAGACAAAAGCAAAGACGATTTCCCAACCTTTCTGCACAACCTGGGCACAGAGATAATTGAGAATGCCGTTGAATTCATCCTCCGCTCCATGTCCAGGAGCACGTAAGCACAGAGACAAGTCTTGATACTGTCCAGTTTGCACTGATAATGACTCCATTGCATTAAATGAATGAGAAAGAAAACTTGTGGCTTATGACAATGTATTACTTCTAATTGAAAAAATCTTTTGTACTTTGTGTTCAAATTAACTGTTCTAAATTCTTTTTAGAGCAAGCATATTTCCAACACTTACCTTTATATGCTTTAATTGATCATAGGACTAAGTGGGGAAAAGAAAGAGCAACATGTTGGAGACAGCCAATTTCTGGCCACAAGTGTTTTTTTTACTCATTAATCTTTGGCAAATTTCTTCTCCTTGAGTATGTCCATTTCTCATATGTAAAGTTAAAGATAAAAAAAAGACTCATCCAGTGCAGATGTCATAATCCCTTAGTAGACATGATACTGATGTGTTTACTGAGGTATGAGTGATAAAACCCCTCTTCATTTCATGTTTTAGTAGTTCAAGGGGATTATGAGATTTAGAGCAAGCAATATTCTGGCAAAAGTAATCTAAAGAATTTCAGTACCTGTGTGTTCTGTTGTTAATTGATTTTGTTTTCTTCACAAATAATTTTCTAGGGAAATTACCCTACTAAGTGTCTTCCAAATATTTTCAACCTTTTGCAAAGTTCATGTCCCTAACTCCCAATATGTCCTACTTCAACATACAAAACTCTAATTTTTCACACTGCTTTACCCTATTCTTCATTCTCCCTACACTGATCTCCCTAATTTCAGCTTTCCAATATCGTATTAGGGAGTTCTGATGGCCTAGTGGATATGGAGCGTCACTGCCAAACCAAAGGCAGGAAGTCTGAATCCACTAGCTGCTCCATGGCAGAAAGATGGGCAGCCTCTGAAAACTCTCTGGAGGGTCAGCTAAGAGCCGGTTCTGACTAGATGGCAATGAGTAAGAGAGTGAGTAGTACACCATTCTTCTGATTATTAAGACTTTCTGATCTCTTTCCGAAGCCTCTGCTTTCTAATTACTTCCTCCACAGACTTCTAACCTATTTGGTAAACATAGTTTAAGGAAGTGTTGTCTATTACACACCTGCTTCATACTTCCATGGAGACTTTATAAGTGCACATCCCTATACCTCATCTCTAACTCTTCTTGGGATAAGGCTCAGAATATACGTTCTAACAAGGATGCCAAGTGATTCTAAGATACAGCAAATTTTTGATGTTTGCTTAGGTTTTTTGGGTGCTTTTTTTTTAAAGCTATTGATAAGTTTCTCTGTAGTACATGAACAGATCAACATGTTCCTTTGGTATTTAAAGGAACAACATAGTTTTTACATTTTATTCATGTACATGTGATTCCTTCTTCTGTATTTTTGTGGCTGCATTAATGATGTCTATTAGATTCTCTGTAGAATCTCTAATCAAACAATCAAGAACTGTTGTTGTTGTTAAGTGCCATCAAGTCATAGCAACCCTATTAAAGAAAGACCTGGACACTTGTATGACTTTCATCATTTCTCCAGGTTCATAGGGTTTCTGGAGGCAAGCTATTTCGGAAGCAGATGACACTCCTGCTTCCAAGCTTGTTTTAATCAGGGAGCTCCACCAAACACTGTCGACCATGGGTAACCATTATCACACTTGGGTAACCATTATCACACTTGACACATCAGTGTCACAATGTTCAGCATCACAGCAACCATGAGTTACCTCTGTACAGCAAGTGGACAACTATATGAAAATAATCTAAAGATTTATAATTCTGTATCTTCTTAAATGATTGAATTATTTTTATGTAGTAACTACATTAAGTCCTAGACTATTTCAGTAGCATAATAACTTGAACATAGTATTAAGAAACTAATCAATAAGAATTAATTTATTGAAAGATTGACTAAGAGATTAGTAAACAGGATATGTAAAGCTGATCTAAAGTTATCCCCTATTTAAAGAAAGAAACAGCTCTCCATCCTGCAGTGAATATAATAATGGAAGAAAATTCAGCCTAACAATAGAGAATTACCAACATGAGTAAGACCCACTCTGTCCCCTAATAAGAAAATTATACCCAGCCAGCAGACTACCAAAGTTCATATAGATTAAAACAAAACAAAACAAACAGAATTTCAAATAATATAAACTAAGAGGAACATTCCAAAGAGAAAAAGAAACAAAATTCTGATATATACAAATAAAACAAATATCAGCAGAAACCAAACATACATAAAATCAACAAAAATATATAAATAAGATTCTTAAGATTCAGATACATCAGAGATTAAGAAATCATTTGAAAACGGTAAAATGTCATAAACAATTGAATAAAGGTGTAATTTTTTTCTGTACAATCAATGATTTATTCACTGTAGATATCTTTTTTAACATAAACAATGACTATGGATTTCACCTGATGGTATGTATGGGAATCAGATCTATTACATCTGTGGAAAGAATAATTGAAGAGGCTCAATATCAGCTGTGAAAACTAGGCCAGGTGCAGTTTGTGGAACAGACCATCAACTACTCCTATGCAAGTTTGAACTAAAACTAAAGAACGTTACATCAAATCCACAAGAACTAAAATTTGACCTTAAATCTATCACACTTGAACGTAAAAGAACATCTCAGAAACAGATTTGATGTCTTGAACACTAATGAACAAAGGCTAGACGAGTTGTGAGAAGATATCAAGAATATCATCCACAAAGAATGTGAAAGGTTATTACAAAGACAGAGGAGGAAGAAAAGATTGAGATGGCTTTCATAAAAGACTCTGAATATTGACTGCACTAGAGAAGCCAAAGAAAAAGGGAAGAAAGCTAAGGAGATGAACAGAAGATTTCAAAGGGCAGCTCAGGAAGACAAAGCAAAGTATTATAACTAAATGGGCAAGGAGCTGGAATCAGAAAATCAAAAGTACCAAACTCGTTTGGCATTTTTTTAATGTGAAATATTTTTATTTTTGCTATTATAATAAGTCTAAAATGAACACTCAAAACTGCTATAACGAAAACTTTTATACAGTCATTCATTCGAAGCAAAAGTCTGCGTTTCCTTTTTGTAATTGAGATTTTAATGAAAGTTAATAGTGAACTTGGATTTCCATTCATTCATTGTTGCACCTTTTCCTCCCTGCCCCTCAACCCCCCAGTTGGCTTTTCTCTTTGAAAAAAAAATGTCGTTGTTATACGGTCTCCTCCCTTACCCCAATCCCAGTTCACTTTAATATGCAGCTCTTATTCTGGACTCTTGTCATGCCAATAATACCTAATCATGTATTCCTTTTATACAGTTCCCTCCATTTTCTGTTTCGATGCCATGTATATTATTTATACCTCTTTTCTTAGTTTCTCCCCAAGCTCTATATCCGTTCTGTGTAATAACAGTGGCATTATTTAGTATTTGTACTTTTGTAACGAAAACATTTCACTCAGCATGATGTCCTCCAGGGTCACCCATTTTGTATAATATTTCAGGAGTTCATTGTTTTTCAGTGCTGCATGGTATTCTATTATGTGAATATACCAGAGCTTCTCTATCCATTTTTTTTGATGGGCACTTCGGTTGTTTCCAACTGTTTACTATTGTGAACAAAGCAGCAATAAACATGGGTGTTCATATATCTGCTTGGGTGGCAGTTCTGTTTTCTTTAGGGTATGCTCCCAGAAGTGGAAATGCTCAGACAAATGATATTTCTATTTCCAACTTTTTGAGAAAGTGCCATACTGCCTTCCAGAGTGGTTGCACCATTTTACAGTCCAACCAACAGTGAATAAGGGTTCCAGTTTCTCCATAACCTCAACAGCATTTGTTGTTTGCTGCTCTGGGTAGAAATTTTTTGTTAGGGAGAAATAGTAAGAATTAATTAGAAACTAAAAAAAAAATATACACAGGGGTTTTTAAAAGATCAAGGACAATGCAAACAAAATTCTAAGAATTCAGAAAACAATGTTGTTGCTGTTGTTGTTATGTGTCGTCGAGTCACCTGCAACCCATAGCGTTCCTATCTATGTACAGCAGCTCTGAACCCTTCCCTGTCCTAAGCCTGTCTCACTAATTCTGACGCACCAATCCTAACTGTCCCAGTTACGTATCAATTCATCTCTCATCCTGAGTCTTCCCCTACTGTGCTACCCCTCCACCCTTCCTAGTATGAGGTCTTTCTGTAAGACAGAGCTTCAAAATTCTAGTCTCTAAGATGAGATTTGGTTTCACCCTCTCCTATAAGACATATTTGTTTTCTTGGCAGTACATGTTATGTTCAAGACTCTTCTCCAGCACCACAAATCAAAAGCATCGATTCTTCTTCTGCCACCTTTAGTTATTTTCCAGCTCTCTGATGCATAGCAAGTAACTGAGAAGACCATGGCCTAGATTAGGTGCACCTTAGTCTCTAGACTGAAATTTTTACTTTTCAGCACTCTGGAGAGGTCCACGACAGCAGATTTTCCCAATACAATTTGTCTTTTGATTTCATAATGCTGCCTTCCTCCTCATAAAGCCCTGCTTCCAGAATTATCTGTTCTCCATACAAATAGAAAAGATCCGGTGACAGAACGCATCATTGGCACACTCCTTTCCTGATTTTGAACCATGCAGTGTTTCCTTGCTCTGTTCTGAAGACTGCTTCCTGGTCCAAATATAGATTTCACATAAGCACAATCAAGTGTTCTGGGATTCCCATTTTCCTCAAGGTTAGCCACAACTTGTTGTGATTCACACAGTCAAATGCCTTTCCATAGTAAATGAAATACAGATGAACATTCTTCTGGTATTCTATGTTTTCTGCCAAGCTCCATCTGACATTGGCAGTAATGTCTCTAGTGCCACAACTTCTCCTAAACCCAGTTTGTATTTCTAGTTCTCAGTTAATGTACTATTCCAGTTGTTTCTGATAATCTTCAGCAGGATTTTACTAGTGTGTGATATTGTTCAATAATTTCCACATTCTGTCAGGTCACCTTTTTTTGGAATGGGAATAAATATGGATCTTTTCCAGTCAGTTGGCCAAGTAGTTGTCCTCCAGATTTCTTGGCA